GGTGGCAGGAAACAATCGGCATGGTCTAATATTTCCTCTCAACCACCAAGCAAACTTTTTTTCATTGCTTCGTTTGTTTGCCTTACAAACCTACCAAAAAGCCCAGCGTACCAATTCACCTTCTTAGCCTTTGGTACAACTGAGTGTTTACCTTTGCTTGTGGGCTAAAAAAAGGATGACTGCTTTATTCATGCACAAATAATACTAACAGTACAAACACACACACACACACACATTCATGCCTGATCCCCGCTCAACAAAGTAGCAAAATCTACCCTTGAATATACTGCTCCGGCCGTCTGGAACGAGCTCCCCGTGGGGATTCGGACCCTCACCACCCTTCAGGCCTTCCGCAAAGCCCTTAAAACCTGGCTGTTCCGACAGGCCTGGGGCTGACGAGTTCCCCGTCCCCGCTCGAACTGTGTGGCTGTTGATTGTCTTTAAATTCTTTCTGTAGTTGTTTGTTGTGTTGTTGTTTTTTCCCCCTTGTCTGTATTTCCCTCCCTCTGATTTGTGAGCCTCCCTGAGTCCCTCCGGGAATAGGCCGGCATATAAATGCAATAAATTCCATTCAATTCAGTAAGGCATGTACCAAGTGTAGCTATGCAGCAAAGTCTTATAAATGCTAGACCTTCGGGCTAATGCTGGTAGTGACTTTTGAATGTATAATGTTAAGCCTTGGCAATACTTTTCAGTGAATCATCTGAATTCATGTACCTCTCTTCCTTTTTCTTCCATTACCTGTTTTCTTTGGTAGGCTCTTTTCACCTATCCATATCTCTCTCTTTCTCAGCAAAGGATTAGACAATGACAGTTTTTATCTACAGGGAAGTAGCTATAAATAGATTTTTTTCCTGCCTATTAAAATGGCTCCTTTTTTGGAGAGCCATATGCTTAGCAATAGTTGGTCTGCCATAATATTCCACCCCGCCCGCATATCATGCTACTCAGTCTAAACCAGGAGCAGGAAGTAGTGACTAGTTTTAGCTGCTATACTGGTTAGAGTGTGGAAGGAGGAAAAACTCAGAAAGAATCACAAACAACAAATCTAAGGTCCAATTGCATTGCTTAAAAGGGGATATACTTTTGTTCTGAATTTGAAACAAAATACTCAGATGGTGGGGTTTTTTGTTTTTTTTTGCTTCCAGCTCTGAATATTCAAAACAATCTTTTCATTCAGGTTTGTTAGCATTTAAAATCTCTTGCATGTACTGCTCCTGGCTAGATCTTTTAGTTTTCATGGTCACATCTCAATCAATCAGACTGGAGCCAGAAGGGACCTTGGAGGTCTTCTAATCCAATTCCTTCTGCTCACGCAGAAGACCTGACACCGTTTCAGGTAGGAGGCTGCCCAATCTTCTCTTAAGAACCTCCAGTGACGAAGCCCGTACCAACCTCTGAGGAAAAGCTGTTCGTTAATTGCCCTCACCGTTAGGAAGTTTCTCCTTGGTTCCAGGCTGCTTCCCTTCTTCATTATTAGTTTCCGTCCATTGTTTCCTGTCCTGCCTTCTGGACCTTTGGAAAATGAGTTGGACCCCCCCCCCCTTCTTCTTTGTGGCAGACCCTCAAATACTGGACCATTGCTCCCGTGTCATACTTGGTTCTTCTTCTTTTCTCTGGACTGGCCATACCCAACTCCTGCAACCGTTCTTCATGTGTTTTTGTCTCCAGGCCTTTAATCATCCTAGTTGCTCTTCTTTGCACTTTTCCCAAAGTCTCAATATCCTTTTTGTAATGTGGCAACCAAACCTGGATGCAGTTTTCCAGGTGTTATAAACTGGTCCTAATATACTTCACCTGATTTTGATTCCGTGCCTCTGTTTATTCAACCAAGGATTGTATGAGCTTCTTTGGCTGCTGCCACCCACCGCCAGCTCTTCTTTAAGTGATCTATCGGGCTCCGAGGTCCCTTTCACGGCCACTTTGTTTTCAGCCAGGTCTCCTCTAATCTGCATTTGTACCTTTGGTTTTCCCTGCCCAAAACTTTGCTTTTCTCCACATTGAAATTCATTTTGTTGAACGGGGCCCCTTGTTCAAGTCTGCCGAGCTCTTTTCGGATCCTGAGCTTGTCTTCCGGGTTGTCGGCTATTCCTGCCAGCTTAGTGTTGTCTGCAAATTCGATGAGTTTCCCCTTCTATTCCCTCATCTAAGTAATTTATGAAGAGATTGAAGAGTGCGTCGTTTACAGTGTGCTGATGTGGCTCTCCCTCCTCCCTTCCGAACCTAACATTTTCATTTCCGTCTGTTTCCTGCCGCCCCCAGGTACCGTTGCTATAGATTTGCAAGATACAGGCTGTAGATCTCCAAATGCAGCTACATTAACTCTTCCTTCAGAAGCACCTAAAACGGGCAGAAGGCCAAGCATTGCACCCGTTCTGGAGGTTGCAGACACTTCAGCGCTTCACAGCTGTGATCCCTTAAGTGATCAGTCCGAAGACGAAGCCACACCCTCCGAGGAAGAAGTGTTGAATGGTCTGGAGTAAGTAAAGTGCACTTTTAAATGAATGTGTTTTTAAACACAGCAATGCAGAAAGGGGAAATTAGTAGCTTGTTATAGAGTGCATTTGAGAGATCTCCAGAAAGTTCCACAATACTGTATATACAAGTAGTCCTCATTTAGCAACCACAATCACGATCAGCCGTTCAGTTGTTAAATGAAGTGGCCCCTAGTGAAACCGCGACTGTGCTTGTAATCTTAGTTCAGCTTTTCCTTGCTTTACACTCCTGCAGTGATGACAAATGCACCTTTTCATTGTTGGCATAACTCTGAATGGTTGCTAAACAAAGGCTCCTTGTGCTTAGTTTAAAGTAGGCATACGCAATCCGTAATGAGGAATTAAAAATCCCCTCACCAGCCACAACCTCACACAGCAATTGGCTGTTCTGTGACTGGCAGAGAAGTGGCAGCATCAGAGTGGCCACAATGAATTTGTTATTTTAAAAAAAACACTCTGACAGGACATATGTTGTGCAGACCTACTCTGAAGGGTCTGGTGGTAATAAGAAAGATGAAATTAAGATTAACAAGAAGAAACAGCAGCAAAGCCATATGATACTTTTATAGTTCACAATAAAGTAAAAATAAAGGCTTCCCCTGCCCAGTCGTGTCCAGCGCTAAGGGACAGTGCTCATCTCTGTTGCTTAGCCGAGAGTGCCAGCATTGGATGAAGGCTCTTTCCATGATGGCCATGTGGCCAGCATGGCTACACGCCAAGGTGCACAGAAACTCTGCTACCTTCCCACCGAAAGTGGCGCCTGTTTATCTACTCGTTTTTGCAGACTTTCAGGCTGCTAGGTGGGCAGAAGCTGGGGCAGGTAGTAGGAGTTCAGCCTGTTACGCGGCGCTTGGGTCTTGAACCAGGAGGTCAGTTTTCCAGCTGACAAGCTCAGTGTGACAAGCAAGCTGAGCCCTCGCGCTCTCTTTTATAATACATTCAGTTTATAATATAAAAGAATTCAGTTTACAATATATAACTGAAATTAAAATATAAAATGAAAAGGCACTCAAAGTCCATTCATTTGCATAGTACACCTCATGGCAATGACCAAACACAGGTACAATTGCATTGGAATCAGGGTAACTCTTATGCCGGTGTAAACACTGAAGAAATTGTTTTGGTTTGACAAAGGATTCAGGAAAACACCTCTAGAAATGTTGCCGTGGGTGATTGTTCTCCAAGGCCTCTTCTACAGTTTCCCCTGGTGCTTGCAAAAGCAGAAGGTGCTTCTGCGCATGTGCAAAAGATGCTTCTGTGTGCAGAAGCTTTTGCAAGTGCCGGTTGAACCTGTGAGGTGATATCACACAACCCCCATGTTGCTTAACCCTAGATCACAAGAGCAGAGATATTATCCTTAATACAGCCACTTATTTAACTTATATAACTAGTAAGTGAACTACCCCTCACAGTTGAGGATAGTGAGACTTTCTAGGAATACAGCAAAAAGTAAATGCTCCAAAAAGTAACAAGTGTCTCACACACACAGGGAGATATAAACAAATACACATCACCCATGTTTGAATCATGACTGAATATTAGAAAGTTCAAGAGGAGAGAGATTTAACATTGAGATACAACTGGCTGTTTAGAGAGACTTTATGCTGCTTTAGAGTTATAGATTTAATGTTGATATCTCTCAAGTGCCTGCTTAAAAAAGAGAAGTTGCTGTACATCTCAGACCAAAGAAAGACAACGAAGGGTTGTGTGTATGCTGTTAAATGCAAAAAATGAGACCAGGTTCTTCTTTCTTCTAGGTATTTAAAAGGCTATCCCCCCTATTCACCTTACATAGGAAGCTCTCCTACTTTCTGCCATTTGCTCCATGAAAAAGTGCCATTTTGCTGCCTGAGATTAGATAAGGTACGTAGGTATAATACTGCTGTGCATACGTTTCCTTTAAGAGGAAAAGCACTTGAACCGTGTTTTTGAATGCAAAGTTAATACTGAGGCATTACAGGTTGTGGTTTTGTTCAGCACGCTGTTGGATAAATCAACTGTATGGCTGTAAAAACACTGTGGTTTTGGCCATATTAAATTTAAGAAGATAATCTAGCCGCAACCTAAAGTATTATTCTTTCTGAAATGGAATTTCATTTTAAAACTTGGGCAGGGTTCAAGTTTCCGTGGCTGTTGTAAGTAATATAATTGCAACATACTCCAATTCTAGGTTTATTTTTTTAAAGCCTTTGTATGATTATATACAGCTAAGCATAGCCCAATTTTATTTCAGCATGAGGCGATGCATGTTGAGAAAGGAAAATATTTTCTCGTCCATGGTGAAAAAATGCTTCTCTTGTTTGGCACAGGTAGTTCTAAGCCATTACAACCATTCAGTCTGTGAATTTTCAAAGTTACAACTGTGCTGGAAAAACTAGACTTACAAGTGATCCACAGTGTCAATATAGCATAGTATCATGATCCAAATCCGTGCTCTCAATAGCCCATCCACACTTAAAACTACCTGGCACTTCAACTCTCCCCTATCTCCCTCCACATCTGTGTCCTTTCAGCCACCCTGAACAGTGGCAATCTTTGGGGGAGTGCTGGGGCTGAAATTCAAATAAAGCCCCTGAGTAGCCTGTTAGCTTCCACCCTTCTACTTCCCAGACCTCCATTTCAGTCCTAATGCTGCTGCTGCCACTGACAAAGGCCGCCTTAAGCCAGCACCACGTTGCAAAACCTCCTTGTCCCTATCCTGCACTTCAGAGAACCTGCCTCATCCACCTTCTTCCTGCTGCTGAAGGGGAAGTTTCTGCTCTGACCTTAATGTGCGGGAGGCTACTGGGGCTTCCAGAGGCAGCTCTGCCTTTTTGTAGCCCCAGAGCTGTGGCAGACCAAGAAGCCTCTGAGTCATCGTCTATTCCTGCACTCCTGCCACACCGAAGGGCCCCCCCCCCAATACATGTGTGGCCTGTGCTGGGCCTCTCGGGGACTCTGCTACCCCATTATGGTGGTCCTGCACGTCTCACCTCTTCCTGCTTGAGGACCTGCAGGTCTGCAATTATGGCAATGAGTAGGATTTCTGGGATTGTCGTCACCAAGCAATGTGGTCATCTGACATCATGATTTAGACCACATTGCTAACCACAGAAATTCCAGCCCCAGTTATGGTTGTAAATCAAGGATTATCTGCATGCCAGGTTATAAAATACTCCTATCCATTTCCAATCCCACCATACAAATATAAAAGCAAATCTTCCATGTTTTTCAGGGGTGACTGGTTATAATGAAAGCTTTGCCACTATAGCATGGAATTAGTGTCAATAAATGTGTTATATATACTCAAGTATCTTCAGTGACAGTAAATATCTTAAATTTAAAAATCAAGACAAATATAGAATATACATCAGTATTTAAAATGTGAGGCTTTCCTTAAAATGGAGCTAGTGAAAATTTAAATATATCTTCAATGATTAAAAGCTGGACATAAAATGCTACAAATACTTTCAATCTACTCTAGGTGTAGTTTGAGGCATTCCTATACTTTGAGCTAAACGTTCATACTTTAAAAAGATCTTCTGGGAAGCTAGAACATTTTACAACAAACAGATGATAGGTATTGTATTCTTATTTTTTCCTGTGATTTATTTTGGGTCTGTTTTAATTAATTGGTTTTAGGGATGCCAACATAATTACTATGAGGATGCCAAAGCTTATGGATTCAAAAACAGAATCATTATAGTTGCTGCAGAAACGGCAGGAAATGGACTCTACAACTTTATTGTACCTCTCAGGGCTTATTACAGACCAAAGAAAGAACTCAACCCAATTGTGTTGCTGCTGGATAATCCGTAAGTAGAACGTTTGTCCTTGGAACTTGGCATGTATTACGTATTGTTGCTACCAAATTTAATGGACCTTTTTTAATTCAGAAGGATTGCATCACCAACACTTGGAGACAGTCATTTATAGGAGAAATATCAGATTTATTTTAAGATATAATCAAGATATAATTTTGCTACAAACAAATGGCTTTGGGTGCCATAGTATCAGGCAGAAAGAATCAGAACCATTCATGTAGGTTTCAACAATTTATAAACAATTTATTGAAGGCTATACACAAGAATCTAGTCAGCTAATGGTCAGCACTGAATTAGTGTTATATAAAAGTCAACAGAATTCAAGGGTGGGGATGAGATTGAAGAGCCTGAGAGGCTAAGCTGATGACACGTTTTGCTCTGTCCCCCAGTTTCACCTCTTTTCCTCATACACATAGTAAGTTAAACAAATTTTTCATGATTATTATATTAGTACTATCCTCCTCCTCCTCCTACACTCTACTGCTATTTTACTTGGAGTTGGAAGGGCTTTGCCTCAATTCTTTAAGTAACTTTCCAGATTATGGCCCTTATGTACTTGCCTATTGCCATTGGGAATAAGTTGTATTGAGGATAAATTTCCATTGTAAACAGAAAAAGATTTTGATGCCATTTTCTTGAAAAAGAGATCTAACTTTGACATCACTGTAGCATGAAATCATAAAGAAAATCTGTAAAATTTTGCCCAAATTGCTGGATCTTTAAAATATTCCAATTGGCTTTAAAGAAATCTCTCTTTTATTCATCTGTTCTTGGCAGACAGTCATGTCAGATTTTTAAGTTGCTTTTTTATTTTGGTCCAATAAAATGTATCAATATGTCTCTAGTGAAAGTTACATCTGAAAGCTTAAAATGTTCCTAGTTGCTTCACATTTATTTTTTCATAGATTTGATTATTCTTTCAAAAACCTCTGGCAAATTAAGTCCTCAAAGAAAGTACAGCAAAGGATTAGGTTTTTATTTCTTATTCCAGAGGTGCAAAAAGTTCAGCCTATCATGCTCTCTTTTGAAGTTCCTAGAGTAGGTATTGCCATGTTTTCAATTCTTGTGATATATTTACTGAAATATCAAATAATTCAACTACAGATAGTTCTCAATTTATGACCAAAATTAGGAATGGAATTTCCATAATAAGTTGTCATTACAAATTGAATTATCAATTATTTTATAATAATTTTTACTATGGTTGTAGGCAGTGGTGGGATTCAAATAATTCAACCACCAGTTCTCTGCCCCAATGATTTCTTCCAACAACCAGTTCACCAAACTGCTCAGAAGGTTAACAACCGGTTCTCCCGAAGTGGTACAAACTGACTGAATCACGCCACTGGTTGTAGGTCAAGTCATGCAGTTGTAAGTGCGAATCCAGCTTTACCAATTGCAAGCTTTACTGGAAACCAGCAAAATCATAACAAATTGTAATCATGTGACCACTGAATGCCACAACCAGTCCTAAATGGGGAGTCAGTGAAAAGCACCTGAATTGCAAACACATGATCATAAATTCAGATATAAATTCTAATTGACTTTCAGAGGCTATCAATTCAAACTGTTCCTTAAGCAAACTGTCAGAAGTCAAGGACTACCTGTATACAACCATTGGTATCTTGAATCTATCAACTCTTGTAGATGTATATATATATATCCTCTCTCCCTCTCCCTCTCTCATAAGAGTGTGTGTGTGTGTGTGTGTGTGTGTGTGTTTAATATTACATCCAGGTTTAACTGCAAATCTCATTGTGGACTGATATTTTTAGTGTAGAAGTATACGGCCCTCTAGTGTTTAATTGAATTTTTTAAGGCTCATGTTTTAAATGCTATACGTGATTTTTAATATATGATTTCTCTATTATAGTTTTAATTGCATTTCATCATAGTTCCTTGTGGCTTTTAGCTGTGTTTTCTTTTTTCTTTTTTTGGAGGGAATTTATCAACATTTCTAATTCCAGTTATTATGAGATCCAGTATCCAGATATAACAAATATGTTAGGAATCATTTTTATGTTTGTAATATATACAGTTTACATATAAGTTCCTTAGTCATCCCCATAAGTGTAAGAAAATATATTAGTGAGTTTCACTATTGCTTAAATTCCATTGGTTGCATTAAGCTCTTTTTGCACTTACCATATTACGATGTATTTTGAGACAGGAAAGAATTGTAAACTGTTGCATAAACTTTAAAATAAACTTAACACAATTTTTTTAAAGAGGAAAACATCCCTAATATCTCCCCATACAAAATTGGGAGATAATGAGAAATCCAGTCCGGACATCATACATTATAGTTATTAAGCACAATAGACAGTGCCTTCTTTGCCATAAGCAAATTTGTAATTTTCAAACAGCTTTGAAATCTGGCTTCCCCATTGACTCTGCTTAGTGGCAAAAAGCATGACCCCAGGACTCTGCAACCATCATGGATATGAGTCAGTTTCTAAACACCTGAATTTTAATCATGTGACCCTGGGGATGCTGCAATGGTCATAAGTGTGAAAAACGGTCATGTGCCACTAAACAAACTGTTCTCATCGGGGACTTCCTGTACATCAAAATCAGTAAAAGACGGCAAGTGTGGCACACCAGATGAAATGAAAGGTTACCCCCTCCCTCTCCAAAGGCAAGAGCAAAGTGAGGAGCCGTTTGAGTCTTGGGGGGGGGGGCACCTCATCCCACAGCGCAGGCCCAGCTGGGAAGGTTCACTTAAAGGGCCCCATAGGTGACATTGTTTAATGGAAAGAACCCAGAGGGCCAAGCCTGCAATCCCCAAGTGGTCTGTCTGCCTACTTAAGGCAGGAATGTGCACATAATTGTATTAGAGAAATTATTAAAATAATCACCAACTATATGAAAGAATTTTCCACACACACCAAAAAAAAGTTCTCAGTAGATAAGAATGTCTCTAAAAATGTATCTATCGGAAGAAATGTGTCTGGAAAAATCAAACAGAATTTTACATACTGTAACATTTTTCAGACTAATGAAGAAACAGGAAAGAAACCGACGTGGTTGTTAAAATGAAACATTAGCAATATTTTTTTAAAAATTCCACTGTCCAATTAAACTGTATTTAACCTTATTATTACTACTAAATAATTTCCGGTACCCACACAATTTTTGTGATACTATCTTTCACTTTGTGACCCATCTGCTGTTTAGGCCAGATATGCATTTTCTGGATGCAATCTGTTGGTTTCCAATGGTTTACTACATGGTGGGCTCTATTGACAAGTAGGTGAAATGATTCTTGGTACACTAAATATTGTAGTGTATTGTAGTGTGCAGTACCATGTAGTTGCATGCTTTTGTGTAGTGCTAGTGTTTTGAAGTTGTATCCTTGCATGCTTACTTGTTCTTCAACATACTGAACCTTTTATGTTGCTTAAAAGGGTTTTCCCTTTTAAAAGGAGACTTCTAGTTTTATACATGGAAATCTACAGTTGAACTGATGTGCAGTTCAGTCTTCATTCATTTATTCATTACATTTTGATATAGTTACTCTATATTTGTATACATACCAAAGTACACATAACGGATCTGCTGAGATTACACGAGCTCTCCATAAACAGATTGAGCTAAGTAGACACTGGAGAACTATGTCTATGGAGATTCTCCATCGTCCAAGTTATGGTTGCCCCAAAGGTCCTCTTCCAAAAGGCAGCTGGATTTTTCTTTAATTTTTCCTTGTTTTTTTTCCCCCTTCAAGGAAGAAAACCAAAGTCAAGTTGCCTTTTGGAAATGCACTTTTAGGACCGGAAAACCATCTTTCTAAAAAGCTTTCATTTGCACAATAATTGCTCTGGGTTAATTGATTATTTATCATCCACTTTTGAATTATTTCTAGAACCTCATGATGTGTTGTTTGGATGTATAGTAAGGAATTCCCATCTCCAAGCCCTTATGCAAGCTTGTTAATTAATTAACCCTGTATGTAAAGGGTTAAATGTATATTGGCTGTTCTCCAAAGGCTGCCTTGTGCATTAGGACAGTGGCCCCCAACCTTTTGGGCACCACGGACCGGTTCCATGTAGAGAGCGTCTTTTGCAGACCAAAGGGGGGGGGGATGGTTTTGCATGCTGCCTGCATCCTGCAGATGGGCCTTTACTTGTTTGCACGGACCTGTTGCTGGCATGCCACAGACCAGTTCCGGTCCATGGACGGGTGGTTGGGGAGCCCTGCACGAAGATATCCCCACCTCCACTCTGGACTATCCAAAGTGGAATTGCAGTGGCTATAAACAGAGCCCCCAACGCTAACTTATAAGGTTAAAAAATAACCTTTTAAAACAAAAGTTTAAATTGTAGCTGCATCAGCAGCTGTTATTTTAAGATAATGTAGAATTTATCATAAAGCAAACAGGATGCTTCACTTTGAGATACTCGTTTCGTTTTTATGATCCCGAAGAAGAAAAAATCCTTCAATATATTGCCACTTGACTGCTGTTATCCTGCCTTGCTCAGATTTAACTTAGCATACCTCAAACTTAAAGTCTCTTGTTTTTGTTTATAATAGCCTATAATAAAATGTTTTTTTTAAAATATTTGTATCTTTTCAATTTTTCTCAAAAATGGAAAAGATACTATGTATGGATGTTCTAATACTTTTTATTAGAGAATATATTTGTACCCAAAGACTGCTTCATATATTACATGGCAACAAGCCAAAGTTTTAATTGGTTCATTTTACATTCAGCAGAGAACTCACTTCACTTTAGTACCTCCTGAAAGAACATTAGTATAAGAAAAACGTCTCTTGACATATTTGGTTCAACTCATACTTTTATACATTTTAGATAAAACTGGATTTAAGATTGAGATTAAAAGAAGCAATAATACATGGAACAATTAAGTTGAACGAAGCAAGAGAAGCAATGGGAGATATAGTTCAAAATACATCGTCACTTGAAAGAAATGCCTGTTCAGTCCTTCACCTCCATAATGCTACTTGCCTTGCTACCCATGGCACTTTTAGCAAAAA